CACACAGACACACAGACACAGACACACAGACACAGACACACAGACAGACACACACACACAGGTGGAGCATCAGGTCCAATAAGACAACACTATAGCAATCATATCAGTGACTTTACATGTTTATATTCATGTTTAAGTCTATACAATTCTCTCATCTACATATTAGGGTAAATTGCATGAAAACTTCCAAGAAATGTCCCGAATCATTTTAAACCCTATAAATCTTGTCTATAAATATGACAAGCACATTTATTTTGTGGAATTCACATAATAACTATAAGTACTAATGTTGATGGAATCTTAAGGTCCATTCACATAAAGAATGTTAAATATAACTGTATTAGCATCCACACCAAAGGATGATATCATTCTCAATCTGCGTCTCAATCAGCTCCCTTGTTCAGTAGTCAGGGCACTGATCAGGGAGCTGTCTCAATTGAAAAATCCTTCCAGTGCACTGGAACGTTCGCTCCCTGAAAAATCCCACAATGCATCGCAAATTCTAGGGAGCATCGGCGCTCACTATGCTGCCTTTGAGTGAAAATAACGTCCCAGTGCACTGGAACGTTCGCTCCCTGAAAAATCCCACAATGCATCGCAAATTCTAGGGAGCATCGGCGCTCACTATGCTGCCTTTGAGTGAAAATAACGTCACATTTCTGAAGCGCTAAACAAACCGCACGAGCAAGCTCGATAAATATAATGCCACGAAATAGAAGATTTGAAAAGACAAACCGTTTTTTGTTGTTGTTATCATTTCAGCATAAACACACATCGCTAGTAGGGGTGTAACAGTTCACAAAATTCACGGTTTGGTTTGATACGACACAGGGGTGTCACGGTTCGGTATGTTTTCGATACAGCAAAAACAAAAAAATGGCAGACAGATTTCCTTGATTATTACTTTTTTTATTTATTTAAAACTTATATCATATGATCTTAAAACTATTTTGGACTTTGGAAGGTTTTTTGACTTCTGCCGTTTATCTAAGATGATTTTGGAAGCTTTTTTAACATTCGTTTCTTATTTATTTGGTTCCACCGTGTTTGCTGATTTTCAGTGTTTTATATTTAAACTTTGTGTAAGTTATTTGTTATTTTAAGAAAAAATCTGATCGTGATTAAACCAGAAAAATGTAAAATAAATGAACAAAAAACAATTTTTAAAGTTTGGGCTCCTAACATTAGATTCACTCTCACCCAAAGCAGTTATTGTAAATGAAATGGTCACAGATAATAGTTTTGATGTATTCTGCTTGACTGAAACCTGGCTAAAACCTAATGATTATATTGGTCTGCGCTCCAGGAGCGGTGCGTCTGCAGCAGTCATGCTACGATCATTTCCGCACGGAATCTATAATCCCGGGTATACTTCACTCTCCGCGTTCCATTCCGTCTCGTGCACAGCTTTCAAAGTATACTCAACTGCGGATGAGTGCGGACGAGCTCGACACAGGCGCAAGTCTATTTCTGCTGTGCTGCACACGCTGAATTAAAGTGACAGCGTATTATTCGCGGTCAAACAAGGCAATAATAGACGGCACTCGTGGTGGTAGTTAAAGTTATATTCATTCATTCATTGTACCAATTTCGGTACCAAAGCAAAACACAAAAACATGCTAATTGAACAACATATTTATTAATAACGTTAAACAAAAATTAAATGTACAAAACCAATGCCATTCTTTATACTTATTTGTTAAGTGTTTCTAGTTTTCCCACAAGTAATAAAAGTATGAAAAAAGTAAACAAGTTTCACCCAAAAGTTTAGTCATAGTTCTGCTGCCACTGAAAAACATCTGTAAACTGTTGTCTGTTTTAGGGTTTGCTCATCTGTAATACTATCGTGTAACGATACCATAGTGATACCATAGTGTTGAGCATTGTCACATAACATCATTTTGATTATAAAGTTTAACATCAGCTCACTGGTGTAAGCAGATTAAGACATTTCAATGTAAAGCCAAACCAAATAATGTTAGCACCAGCTCGCAATTCAGTATGAACACATGGGAGTCTAGCCTAAAGGAACACAGCTTATGAAAGGAGCATGTTTTAATGAAGTTGTTATTTTTAAATAAAAATTGTTACTGTATGTGTATGTTAAAAGTACCATTCCGACAGCAAGAACGATCCTAAACTAAATGAAGATTAATGTCTTGGGTATGATGTGTTGATTGGACCAATCAGATAAGAATAACTGGAGAGTCAGCGAGAGGCTCATTTGATTGGCTACAAGAAGAAGGTGGCCCCGCCCTCCCCCTCACGCTTGCAAAACTCAGTTAGTGAGAGAACAATGCCAAAATTGTAAGCGCAGAGAAAAGAAAGACGGAGCTGTACATATCGGTTTATTTCGGGAACTTTTTGCCCCACATGCACAACAAGTCATTTAGACATTTGCAACAGTTAGTTTTTTTACACATACAGATTGG